GTAGATCTAGAAAATTCGTGGGCATTAAGACAGTTCCAGATTTATCTTCTACCTTTCACTTTACTCCTCTTTATAAGATCCCTTGTACATCTTTAATTTCACATACACTTTCTGGGAAGATTTTTTTCTTTTAAAGATGTTGTGTCATAACTTCTGAACATCTGCATAAGAAATATGAGTTGACATATTGTCAGAAGTTGTGACGACCAGGGCTTTTTTGAGGTGATATAGCAGATGCACAGTTTGTGTTGCTTAAATGTTTAAAATGGCAGGACCCTTACAGGGATGTACATTCTGTGGCTAGGTTTTTCTCTTTAGTGTAAGTTCTGCTGTGACCAAAAATGAAAATGAGCTTAATCTTGGCGTAAGCTGAGTCTGTACTAAAAGCTTTAAACTTTAAATCTGGAACCAAAATTTCTCTCTGGTTAACTCTCTCATATCACTAGTATTTAATGATTATAAGTTATGGTCTGGGCCAACTAGTTCAATAGTAGGAGCTTGTGAGGATTTTAAAGGTTTATGTATGTCAGTTGATATTACATAAAGAATTGTTTTGTTCTGTGGCTATGGATTACCCTAATCATACGCAACAGTTTTTCAAACATATGACTCTAATCAAAAGGGAAAGTAGGTGACTATGTAGGGTGAAGAGTACATCCATCCATCCTCAGTCTTCAAAAATTAACTCAAAATGCATATTCTTTAATGATTAATCAATAACAGAGGACACAGATATGTGAATAAAATTAAAAACACAAGTACACACATAATTTGAGGTTGATTCTTAAATATAGTAAACTTTATGGATAGGATATTTTTTAAAATGCAGACATTAGTCTGTATGGGAAAACTACCTTTTTCATTATATTCTTTGAGGTAAATCATTTGAGTAATTTCTTGATATCCTATTCACCTAGCAATATTAGAAATAGATTTTTATTGTTATTTTGAATATGTAAAATTTTCAGATTTATTTTCTCCAGCTTAGGAAAGTGAAGTTTATTTTCTTTGTTTCACTTTGTACTTCATCCGATGGATATTTGGGTACTCGTGATAACTGAGACAAATACTTAGGAAAATATAAAAGATTTTAACTCCATCATTAAAATAAAGATATGGTTTAGTTCACCCCCATATTTTTGGCACACTCAACTTAAATAAATTTAAGTTAAATATACTTGGTATTTAATAGGATATTAGCATATCAATGATTTTTTTTTTGGTATGTTTGTGAAAAACATAATTTAAGTGTTGGGGGTGGGTACAGATTATTTTATAGAGGTTATGTATATATATCTCTACAATTTTCTAAATCTTTGGAATTTAGTTTGTTAGACGTCAAGTTTTCTTAATTTTTTAAAGTTATCTATAGGGTTATTTGGAGAGTGTTATAGAGTTAATTTAGAGGTCAACTTTTTAATATTTATAGGGTCTTGTTTATATTTATAATATATTTAGCAGCTTTTTAAAATCTTATGCAAGGAACGATATATGATACTAAAGTCAAATGAGAAACATTTGAGTGAACTGATTTGAATGGAAGCAATAAAATATCTTCTACATAAGATTGGAGTTGATATGCAAAGTTGGTTTGACAAAGAGTCAGAGCAGTAATCTTACCGCTGTAATAAGTATCACATTCTCTTGAAATCCTCATTATAAGAGTGGCATTGCTACTTTAAGAACTATATATTGGGGCCAGCCTGGTGGCGCACTGCTACAGTGCGCCGCTTGGGAGCGTAGCGGCGCTCCCACCGAGGGTTCGGATCCCACATACAGACCGGTTCCCGCTCACTGGCTGAGCAAGGTGTGGGCGCAACACCGAGGGTTGAGATCCCGTTGCCGGTCCCGGTCCGGTACGGGCGCGACACTGAGGGTTGCGATCCGTTGCCGGACATGAAAAAAGACAAAAAGGAAAAAAAAAAAAAAAAGAACTATATAATTAGAGTAAGGAAAATCTAATTGAGTTTTATCACTCAAGTAGATTGCAAATATTTCAGTGTTCTAAAAGTATTTGCTTTGGTCATTTTAATGATATTTCTGAGAAGTGTCGCAACAAATGTTGAACAAGATGAAAAATGACATTTAGTACAGAATCTTGGATTTTAAAGTTTTAATTAAAAATATGTAATTAAGGTGGGAGCTAAAAATAAATGAATGAACTCACACACACACACACACACACACACACACACACACACAAAAAAAACGGGGGGGGGGGAAGAAGACATAACAACTACAATTCCTTGAAGTTGATACGACAAGCAAACAGAAAGGACATTGTTGGAAGGGAGGGGGGAGCGGGAGGGGGGAGGGAGGTTTTGGTAATGGGCCACAATAATCACCCACATTGTATATTGGCAAAATAAAATTAAGAAGAAAAAAAATATGTAATTAAATTTGCATGCTTCACTTATTTAGAATATTCAGTCATCTGTTTCATTCTACTAGAATACGAATGCCAGATGGGCATTTATCCTTTTTGTCTTTTTTTTTTTCGTGACCGGTAACGGGATCGCAACCCTCGGTGTCGTGCCCACACCGCGACCAGCAACAGGATCGCAACCCTCGGTGTTGCGCCCACACGGCGCTCAACCAGTGAGTGGACTGGTCTCTATATGGATCCGAACCCTCGGCGGAAGTGCCACAGCACTCCCAAGCGCCGCACTCTACTGAGTGCACCACCGGGCCAGCCCCCCAGATGGGCATTTAAAATTATTATTATTATTATTATTTGGTTCATTGATGTATTCCTAAGTGCCTAAAACAATGTTTCATACATAGTTGACACTCGAGAAATATTGGTTGCTGAATGGATTACCTGAACTGGGTCACCTTCTTATAACTTTCCCAAAGTCAATGGGGGGAAAAAAGTACTTAAATTATTTTAGAAATATAAACCAGAAAAAGATTTTTAATACCTTAGCCATGGGGGAGAGGTGGATAGGGTGGAATTAGAAAGTTAGAATATGTACTTAGTTTTTTTTCTGTATCATTCTGTCACCGAAGGGCTGGCAGTGCAAGTGGAGAGTAGAAGGATAGTCTGTAAGGCAGTAATTCCCTAAACAGGACGCTAGGAATCTCTAAAGAAATGAGCATTTGTTGAACAGGAGCTATAAAAGCAGTCGTCGTGCTAGATGTTTCGTGTGTGTTATCTTATTTAATTTTCATAACAACCCTGGGAAGGGTTGTTTAATGGTTGATTAATGCTAGGTAGCATTAATCCCTGTTACACAGATGAGAGGGAAACTGGGGTTCAGTGAATTTAGAGGTAATAACTTCTCCTGGTCATATGACTGGTGAGTGACAGATCTGGGAGACCAAATGTTCTTACCCATATTTGCCTGGCTCCAAATCCTGTGCTACTGCCACTATACCAAATGGCATTCTCCTCTAATGTCTGGAAGGGTGCTAATTATAATTATCTTAGTTTTTAACTCGTATCTTTTCATAATCTATTCTAGTGTTTAATCACCGTCATTATTGGCTAAGTTATATGTTCTGATGAACAGATTCTGTGTTACAAGAAATTTTCATTTTTTCCTCTGGGATGATACTGATCATGCTTAAAATAACATTTCGTATTAGACATATGATAGATTTACTTTTCTTTCAAGCATATAGAGAGAAATGTTATATATTAACCTCCTTTAGAATTTCTGAAGGTCAGTTAATTTCAACTATGGAAAGGCAGAAGCAAGAAAATCCAGTTTACAGTGCAAAGAGAAAAGTATTTAATTTCTACTTGGAGTAATGGTTTGAATTGTTTACATAAGGGAAAGATGCACAATTAGGACCTAAACATGTTTTTGCCTTTAGCTTTCACCATAAAATGATTTCTTCAGTATAAATTTAACCAAAGTGTAAATTGGTTCACTTAAAATTAGAAACAAACAAAAAAAAACCCAAAATGTTTCTTTTATAGGAGCAGCCTTGTCTCCATGTCAGTTTATTTTTTAATGGCCCAATCAGAAATCTTGGGACTGAAAAGAGCTGCTTGTACAATGATGCAGTGGAGGACTAGTCTTTGATATGCTGGGTTTTTTTTTTTTTTCTGAAAGTGGCTCACTGTATCAGGTTGTTTTGTTTTGTTTTGTTTTTCCTGAATCTTCTCAACTGTGGCTTCTCTCTTGAAAATGTGAATTTAGTATATTATGAAACTGGAGTGAGACAAAACATATTCAGTGTTAAATTAGACTCCCTATCTTAAAAATTCTATTTGGACAGTAAATGTAAAAAGCAAAATCATGTGTTCTACAAATTTTTATACTGGCCATGTTTTCTATGATATTGACACATTATAAAATATATAATTATGTATTATATATTTTATGTAATAAAATTTATTTTATATTTTATATAATATATATTCAAGTATTATGTTGAGCCATATGAAATTGTCATTTCTGTAGGTCAAAAGATGATTGGATATTGGCAAATACATATAGCTCAGCTTAATACATGAATTTGGAATTCCCTAAATAAGATGTCTCCTGAAATGTTAATTTATATTTTTATTCAGCTACTTTTTCAATCATGGAAAAAATATTAAAATTAAGGTTAACTTGAATTGTAAAATCTGTTTGAATTTAATTTAATTTTATTTATTAAATTAAATTAAATTTTGTTTTATTTTATTTTTGGCAGCTGGTCAGTACAGAGACCTGAACCTTTGACGTTGGTGTTATAACACCACACTCTAACTGAGCTAACTGGCCAGCCCCCTGTTTCAATTTTAAATTGATAATACTTTCTTTTCATTTTCTCTTTTGTTGTTAGTGATGGCCCACCTTATGACAGCTGATAAAATTGTCTTCTAGGTCTCCAAGAGAGATATCTGAGTTCATTTATGAAAGATGTTGTGGAATTAAATGCATGGTGTTTTCTGTGCCCTTTTTTAAAATAAGTGATTTGGTTGTGTTTTCAAAGGTTTGTGCTTTCTGGAAATCTGCATGGTGGCTCAGTGGTAGCAAGCTATCCTTTTGATGATTCACCAGAACATAAGGCTACTGGAATCTATAGCAAAACCTCAGATGATGAAGTCTTTAAATACTTGGCAAAAGCTTATGCTTCAAACCACCCCATAATGAAAACTGGTGAGCCTCACTGTCCAGGAGATGAAGATGAAACTTTCAAAGATGGGATCACAAACGGTGCACATTGGTATGACGTGGAAGGTAGGCAAAGCACTGAATTTGCTATATTTTCTCCCTTGTTCATTTAGCTTTCTTTTTTCTTCTTATTTTGTAAATTTTAAGCTCATCGTAAAATTGAAAGAAGACTACTGAACACCTATATATCTTTCATTTAAATTCACCTACTATTATCTTAACCTGAAATGTTCTGCCTTTCCCTCTCTCTTACACCTACTCTCTGTCTACAAACACATGCATACAAACAATCTTTTGTCAAACCATCCAAAAGTAGGTTACTGGTTTCATCATACTGCACCTGTAAGTTCCTCAGCATGTATTTCCTAAGTACAAGGACATTCTTCTGTACAACCATATACCATTACCATAACTGAGAAATCAACAATAATTCAAAATTATCATCCTACATGCTGTCCATAACTCAAATTTTCCTTATCCCAAAAATATCCTTTGTAGCTCCTTTTTCTCCAGATCCAGGATCCAATCAAGGTTCAAGATTGCATTTGGCTCTTGTGAAGAGTCCAGGCCATTCATGCTATGGAACATTCTGTATTCTGGATTTGTCACTTTCTTCATGAAAAGATTCAGGTCAAATTTTCCAGCAAGTCTATTAGATAGATCACATTACATCATGTCAAGAGGCACATAATGTTGAGCTGCAAGTGGCCGAATTGGACAGCTTGGTTAGTATAATGACCACCAACCAGATCTCTCCTTTTTATATAAAGGCACATTTTTCCTTTGTATTTTAATTTGTGGGACGATCATGAAAAGCTGTTTTTTTAAATTGTGGTAAAAAATATATATATATATATAGTGCAACTATCACCACTATTTCTAAAACTTTTTCATCACTCCATACCGAAACTCTGAAACCATTAAGTAATAATTCCTATTCCTTTCTACCCCTCACAGCCACTGGTAACCTCTAGTCAACTTTCTATCTCTATGAATTTGCCTATTCTAGATATTTCATATACTGGAATTATATAATATTTGTCCTTTTGCATCTGGCTTCTTTCCCTTAGTATAATGTTCTCAAAATATATCCATTTTGTAGCATGTATCAGAACTTCATTCCTTTTTATGGCTGAACAATATTCCTTGTATGTATATAATACATTTTGTTTATCCATTCACCTGTTGATTGGCACTGAGTTGTTTCTACCTTGGCTACTATGAATAATGCTGTAATGAACATTGGCATACAAGTATCTCTTTGAGTCCTCATTTTCAATTCTCTTGAGTGTATATCCCAGAGTGGAATTGCTGGGTCATGTAGTAATTCTATGTTTAGCTTTTGAGGAAGCACTAAACTGTTTTCCATGGTGGCTGTGGCATTCCCATTCCTACCGGCAATATAAGGGTTCCAGTCTCTCATGGAATGCTATTTTTGAAAGAATTGTTAAAGCTTGAATAGTTTGCCTTTTCTTTTTAAATGTTATTAAAGCAGGTGTTGCTCTTTTTAAACTTTTTATATATTTTGAATAATAACTTTTTCATTTTTATGCACAAACTATTAAGGGTAAGCAGAAGGAACAAGTCAACCCATGGAAATGTCATTAGTATAAATTTTTCTCTTCTTAGGATCTGCGCATGGTGAAATGCCTTAGGTCTTCTTTAAGTTTTTGTTGGCAGTCATAAAGTGTCTTATAACATGTCTCTTAATGTGCCTTCATTTAAACCTTTGAATTACCCTTTGACTTTTTATGTCAAGCCATGTGTACCCAAAATGGGCCCTAAGTTTGAGAACTAAATATCTTCTAAAGTTTTCTAATCTCCCTATATTTCTTGTTTTTAACAAGCATCCATAAAGAGGTTTGAAATATTTAGAAGCCAGGCTTTCCTCCATAACAGTTAGAGGTGATTTAAAAACCATTAAACTTTTTTTGATAGATAAGAGACATACTTTAATGTGTTGTAATTCTCACGTTTAAATTTCAGTAAACGTGTTTAATAATATCTAACTTTCTGAGCTGCTGGTTTTGTGATCTAGTCAAGTTGCTTTATTAATTTGAGATGATGTTACTTAACATAATGGGTTGAAAATAAATTACTTTTCCTTTTTGGAAAAAGTTATAAAAGGTTAGAAAGTAATTTCTAATTGGTAATTGATTGAGAAAGGTAAATATGTATTATGCTACTTAAAAAATAAATATCCTGCCTTCACAAAAAGGCTAGAGATTATTTGGGTAAACCAGTTATCAGATTTTTCTGATTGTTTAAAGAATCAGAATTTTGCTGCTGTCATTGTTATTGTTTTTAATGAGCATCAAATTTCCTCCTGTTTTAGCTAAATGGTCAGACATGTTTTAAGTTATTTCTATAATAACTAGCTTATTTCTCTTTCTACCTCAGCAAATATCAAGGAGTTTCTCCTCTAAGAGGAGGCTGTGAGGCTTTTGGTAGTTTCAACAGAACAAATTCATTTTGTTTATCTTACGCAGTACTGCAGTGAGTAAGATGTTGTGAAACCTTGTGACCAGGCATATATTCAAACCCGGATGTCCTGGAGTAATTTTACTGAAGCTCTTTGTGGTGTAGTTAGGAATTCTAGTTCACAGAAGTATGGACTTTTAGAGTTGAAAGTGAATATATTGATCTATTCTAATCCTTTTGCTTTATACAAAATCAAGGCCCTAGAGAAGAAGTAACTTGTACTATATAATTTATTCATTTAGCAAATATTTACTGAGTACTGGCCATGTCCCATATGCTGTATTAGGAGATGGGGATACAATGGAAGCAAAACAGAAACAGTTCCTGCTCTCAGGGATCAGACAGCATTTTAAGTAGTGTGGAATGTAAGGTGATTTAGCTCCTACTGCCTTTACCTTCATTGCTGGGGTTGACTCAGCATATCTAGCTGCCTAGGTGGGTGGGCCTTGCTCCTCTCAGCATGTCTGTCAGACCCGTAGGATCCATTTAGGGAATGACTATGCCAATAAGGCCTGTGAATAGTTATGCTCCCCTGACAAAGCCTCGTTATTGTTAGAGCCTAAGCCGGACTTGTTCATGTAACAGGGTGCTTTTTTTTTAAAACCACAATGTGCTGATTTGTATGCCTTTTTCCTACCATTAGTTTAGTTTGTTTGTTTCCATAGAAGTTGAATTGTAGAAAGCACATTGACTATTTTGGCAAATGATCTAAAATATGTTATTCTTTATTCATTTCTATTATTGAAAAGTCAACATTTTTCTCTTGTCATATATTTTCAGTCATCATCTTAGCGAAATGTTACAGGTCTCATTGTCACCACTGCAATACATTTACTGTGATGGAAGTATAACCTGTGTCTCAATACAGCCACATTAACAATTTTGGGACGCCATGATCAATGGTGTCCATTCTCATCTAGAATGAGGCTTTTACCATTCACACTTTTGAAGACATAAAAATCAGCTGATGGCTTAGTATGTTTATTTCAAAGCTAATTTAATGAAACTGAACTGTAGTTTTTACATCAATATTTAAGAATTGCCCTCTTTCAACTTATAAAATTTAAGAATGGGCAAGTAACCACAACTACGTATAATTGAAATTATTTGATCAAAGGTCACAGTTTTATGTAACTTTTACAAGTTTTGTGTGTAAAACATTATTATATTTTATTTTCCTACAAATAGAAGGATATAGATGGCATTGTAGTATAGTGCTAAGAGCAGTGCTTTGGAATCCTACTGCCTTGGGTTTGAATATCAATTCTGCCTTGACCAGTTCTGTGTGTGTGTGTGTGCATGCGTGCACACAAGAGAAAGATATCTTGGACAAGTTAATGAATTTCTCTAAGCTTCAGTCCCACATATATAAGATAAAGATAAATACTATCTACCTCACAGGATTATGAGTCTCAAGTGAGAATATGTTGTAAAGCGCTTAACCTAGCATATGGCACCATGGCTACTTATCTCTGCTGGAGTTTAAACTTCATGAGGATAAGGGCTTTATTTTATTCCATTTTTTATGTTTAGCACATAGAACCATGCCTGGTACATAGAAGGTAAACAATCTTTTTAAAATTTTTGAATTAATTAATTCTTGCCATCTGAAAAATGAGAACATAGTTATTTAAAATCTTAGATGATCTTTAGACTAGATAATCTTACAAAAATTTACAAAAGTATTCTTCCTAGTTTTGCTCCTATTGTGAGAAAATAAACTTGCCTTACTGTTAGGTCCTAGATAAGTATTTTTCAAACTTAAAAAAAATTTCTTTTTATTTATTTTAATTTATCAATATACAATGTAGTTGATTTTCATGTCCCTTTACCAATTCCTCCTTTCACCTCTCACTCTTCCCCCTCCCCTCCCATCAACATCATATCTGTTCACTTGTCTTAACAAGTTCAAGAAATTGTTGTGATTGTTGTGTCTTCTGCCCCCCTATTTATTTGTATATTTATTAATTTATTTATTTTTAGCTCCCACAAATAAGTGAGAACATGCAGTATTTCTCTTTCTGTGCCTGGCTTATTTCACTTAATATAATTTTCTCTAAGTCCATCCATGTTGCTGCAAATGATAGTATTTCTTTTTTGTTGTTGTTATAGCAGAGTTGTATTCCATTTTGTAGATATATCACATTTTCCTTATCCACTCAACTGATGATGGACATTTGGGCTGGTTCCAACTCTTGGCTATTGTAAATAGTGCTGCAGTAAACATGGGAGTACAGGTATCCCTTCGACATGATGATTTCCATTCCTCTGGGAATGCTACCATTCCACTACCAGCAGTGGAATAGCTGGGCCAGATCTATCTGTAATTGTTTGAGGAACCTCCATACCATTTTCCATAAAGCCTGCACTATTTTGCAGTCTCACCAACAGTGCAGAAGGGTTACTTTTTCTCTGCAGTCTCACTAGCATTTATCATTCTCAGTCTTTTGGATATTAGCCATCCTGACTGGAGTGAGATGGTATCTCAAAGTGGTTTTGATTTGCATTTCCTGAATGCTGAGTGATGTTGAGCATTTTTTCATATGTCTGACATTCATTTGTATATCTTCCTTTGAGAAATGCCT